AACACACGTTGTACGGCCTGCTCGTGTTCCCTTGGTGTTGTGATCAGCTGCAGAATTTTCCACCGCTTATTCTTTTCCGGCTTCTTCGCCCTCACCTCCCTTTTCTGTGTTGTTCTTGGCATTTCCAGCTCTCAGTTCCATCTGAAACAAGCTTTTCACATATTGTTCTCATCCATAGCTTACATCCTTTTTTCCAGGCAGCTCTATCTCCAAGAACATCACAAGGTCACAGAGATAACCTTGGCTGAATGTGGGAACTAAGGAACGTCCTGTTGTGACGTAGAAGCTACCCTGGTTTTTTCCAAGGCGGCTCCATATATGTCTTTAGAGATGAAATAAGGATTTTTTTTTTTTAAAAGGGAAACTTAAAAACACAAATCAGTATCTTCACATTCATCAGGATAAAACTCCCTAGTTACTGTAACAAATAAACTCCGGATCTCAGCCGTTTTTATTTTCCACCCTCACAAGTGCCAGTGGGGTTGCATGCCTGTTCTGAGTGTGGTAATAATTCCTTCATGCCGCTTCGCTGGGGTCTTTTGTATGTCATGAAAATGACATGTCCAGCTCTGTGTTTGAGAAGGTGATGCTTGTGGCTGTCCAGAGGGTGGATTGAGAAAAGAGGCTGGAGAGGGGGGGAAAGAAGGAACGTGAGTTACCAAGCAGGGTATAGCAGGCGTCTATCGCCAGCCCTGGAATGGTGCCTATCCCTTCTCCTCACCAAACAGAACTTACTTTTGTGGCTTCACTAAAGGTCAACTATCAAACTTCCATTCAAGGTTAAATACCGAACTCAAGTAAAGAAGCTGCGGAGAAGTAACCCCCCTATAAATGTTGATTGCATAGAAACATTTCTAGAAGGTTCTGTATTTGCTGCTGCTCACTTTAAGAGGGCCTGGGGATGCAGTTTTCCTGCTGTCCACCGAGAGAGGGCCCCAAACCAGGAAGTGTCCGGCCAGCCTCCCTCACATTCTCATAGAATGAGGAAGGAAACCATTACTTTGGATTCTGCTGTTAGCTCTATAAGAAGGCATGGATGTGGGCAAAGTGCGGTTAGTCAGTTAGTAGGATAGACCTATTCCAGTTTTTTTCTGAGCGCACCCGGGCCAGGATGTACATGTATTTGTGAGTTACAGAGCTCCCAGTCAAGTCGGTGATCTATTAACTCATGACATCATTTGTGTTGCTTTGAATTCAACCCACATCTTGTTGTGCGACGGACATTGCTCTAAAGCCATATTTTCCCTCCAGAATCGAATGACCCACCACCTTGGTGAACGGGCCCGCCTTCCACGGAAAGAGACGGAATTCCTTTCCCACCTTGGTTTCATCCCAGGTGTCAGGTGTCCTCGCTTCCCAAGGCGGCTGCTATTTCACGGCTGCTTTGCCTGTCTCCTGGCCTGAATCCTAGACATCAGGCTTTGTTTTTAAAAAAAATCTATTTTTATTGATTTCATAGAGAAAGGGGGAGGGAGAGAGAGATAGAAACGAGTGATGAGAGAGAATCATTGATGGGCTGCCTCCTGCATGGCGCCTACAGGGCATGTGCCCTGACCTCCTGGTTCATAGGTTAACACTCAATCACTGAACTGCACTAGCCAGGCTGGACTTCAGTTTTGTCTCCTGTTTTTGGAAGGTGCGCACAGCCCTCCATAGAAGGTTCTTTATTTTGCCACTGGCTTATTTATAGAAAAATTTTATTTAGGTCAGTCTCAGAGTAAGGCACACAATTTTGCCATTAGGATGAGACATTTTTAGCTTTTATAATACTGGTCTCAATAAAAAGGTTGGCACTATTTCTGTGGTTGATGGGTGTTTTCTGTTTACAGATATATTTTCATGGGTGTCTTGAGCTCCCACACCTCCATTCAAACAGCAATTATTTATATTTGTGATACTTTAATCACTGTTTATTTCTTCCTTCCCATATTTCAGAATTTCTTATTTTCAACAACAAACCATCATGGATTCCTACTGATATAATAGAGCCTGTGTTTCACACAGAAAGAACTTTTAGTTTGTTCTGTGAAAGCTATATGGATTAATGTGTGCTTTTTATTCAACATCATGGGGAGGATAACTACTCTCATTTCTACCTTCTTAGAGTCCTAGTTTTCTATGATACATCTATTAGAAATAATGTAAAATAAGTCTGAGGAAAATTAGCTTGTTTTTATTTTTAACTAATATTTTATTTTTAAATTTATTTTTCCTTTTTTTTTAAACATATTTTTATTGATTTCAGAGAGGAAGGGAGAGGGAAAAAGAGATAGAAATATCAATGATGAGAGAGAATCATTGATTGGCTGCCTCCTGCACGTCTCCTACTGTGGTTAAGCCCTTGACTAGAATCAAATCTGGGCCCCTTCAGTTAGCAGGCTGACACTCTGTCCACTGAGCCAAATCAGCGAGGGCTGTTTTTTCCTTTTCATTGAATGTATTGGTTAACAAAATTACACAGGATTCGGGTGCACAGTTCCACAGCACATCATCTGTACACTGTTCACCATCCCAAGTCAAGTCTTCCATTACCATTGTCCCCCTTTACCTTCTCCCACCTCCCCTCCCCCCACATTCCCCATCCCAGCAACGAAAGAGTTTCATATCATCCATAATGACCAATTGCCCCTGCCTTAGTATGACAACAGAACACATCCCATGAACTGAGAATCCGAAATCGAGCAGTTGGATCAGGTTTCTTTAGCCAAGCAGATGTCCCCGGAGCTAAACACATCTCTTATAAAACAAGCCACACCATAACCAACAGTGCCAAGGAAGAGAACCTTATCTTCCAAGTGTTACTGTGTGATATCTTGAATTCATGCAGCTATGATAATATTTTCCTTTTTTGAAAATGAAGAGGTGTCTTCAATGTTTGTTTTGACCAATCTGTCCAAAAATTGGATGGCGCCTGAGCATGGCTTCTTGTCAAGACAAAGACCAGAACATTCATTTTATGACCAGTGTGGGTGTGCTGGACTCTCACACCCCACAGCCCGCAGGGCCTGGAGGATGTTATGTGATAGGAGCACTAGAAACAGGACCAGACACTCTCATGTTTATATGGACTCAGATCACCTCCAGTCGACATTGAAAGTAACTCCATAGTGGGCTAAGGCATTCGAAGGCCTTTATGGCGGAGTGATTCCTCCTGAGTCTTGAACAATTGGGCTTTGGAACCTGGAAGGAGGCAGGAAAAGGAATTTTGGGTAGATATTAACCAAAGTCAAGATTAAGGGCTGTAAGAAAAGGCAACGAATCCAGTGTGATGTCAAGGGAAGGATACCCAGAGGGGAGTAATGGGATCTATACCCTGAAGTGTGCTGGGAGTATTTTGAGGTCCAGGAGAGATTTGTATGTAATGAAAAGGACATGTTCAGGTCTGTGTTTGAGAAGGTGATGCTTGTGGCTGTCCAGAGGGTGGATTGAGAGAAGAGACTGGAGAGAGGGGAAAAGAAGGAAAATGAGTTACAAAATATTGACATTCTCTATTAGGGTAGGGGTAACAGAAAAGAAAGCAAATGATATGCCAACTGCACCCAATGATTGTAGAAGGAGGGTTTGATGATGGAATGAATGGGGGAGAGAAACACCCAATGATGATGATGATGATGATGATGATGATGATGATGATAAAGAAGAGGAAGAGGAAGAAGAAGAGGAAGCAGAGGAGGAGCAGGAGGGGACTGGACTCCCTAAGTCCCTGTTATTAGATGACCTGTTAAGCCATAGGATAAAGCCTAAGGCAGCGTTAATTGGGATGCTGCCCCATGGCAATTTAAGAATAATCCTTTTGAAATCTGATCTGCAATTGCCCCATATCTTCCCTGTGTGCCCAGTGACCGGACATACCTGTACTGAGGGCATCCATGGTATTTCAGTGTGGGTGGCTGGTTATTCCTTTATAGTTCTCCAGGCTATGCTGGATTCTGCATCATCTTGATTTTTTTTTTTTTCCTGCTCTCTGTAGGCGATCTCTCCAGAGTGGTCTTACTGTTCTACTTAGGTGGCACTTAGGCTTTCTGCAGACTTGTGAGTGACTTAGGAAATGACTTTTGGTCAGTAGGGGGCAGAGTCACCTCAGGGAAGGAGCATAGATTTGACCGGATCCCTTGAAGATTCTGACTCAGTCAGCCTGTGAGAGGGCCCCTGAAACAGGTGCTTTGTGTTGTTAACATTCTAGGTAATTCTAAAGGTTAGCTAACTTTGAGAAGTAGTGATTTGATCTTCCCGAATGTTGGCTTTCACAGGATTGCTATGAGCATTAAATGAGAAAATGCATCTGGGTTTTATAAACCTTCAACCACCGTAAAATATCAGTTGTTACTTCTTTTTCTTCTTTTAAATCTTTATTGTTGAAAGTATTACATATGTCCCCTTCCAACCTGCCCCACTTTCCATCCCAGGCAGTTGTTACTTCTTGAAATAACTTTTTTGTTCCTTTTTAAAGGATTTTTTCAGTAGCTCATCAGTTTGAAGATTGGCTACATGAAAGCATATTACGGTATATTTGTTTGATTTTATGCATTCTCATAACCAAGACAAAACTAATAAATTCTGTCTAATACATGTACACAATACATAAAAAGTAGGGTTAATTATATGATAGTTTTATTTAAAAAATTTTAAAGAACTAATGTTGAATTGCAACTTTAAAATAGCCATGCACATATAAAAATATGTTAACAGCTTGTGCCCTCAATAGTTTAATATGCCCATAAGTTCTTACTTTTCCTGGCTGCATACTAAGTAAACATTTTAGGTTATACAAAGGTGAACAGATCCAATGAAATGTATCAAATTCCTAATTGTGATTGTATATATTTTCAGGGGAAAAAAACCCACCAAATTCACTGGATGATAATTTTAGATGTTGAAGAAATGATAGAAAGCAGAAAACCCTGGTTTAAAATTGTTTTGTTGTTGTTGTTGTTATATCTGAGGAATAAATTCTAGTTAAAAAAAATACCCAGGAAAATGAAAAAAAGGAACCACTTGTATGTATTTTAATACAAAACACATTTATTATGGACACTTGATAATTTAATTGACAAATATTATCCTGACTTCCCAGTTTTAAGAGCAATAGCTTAAATTAAATACATAATTGTTTTCTTCATCTCTTTCAAGCCCAAAGCAATCGAACAACAAGACAACGCCAACACCGCTTTGTCAGTGGTGACCTCAAAACACATACTTTCCCAACAGTCACCCAAATGAAAGAGATTTCAGCAGCTCAAGACAGTCTCTATAGAATAATAGGCAGCATAGAAGTCCATTGACCTTGGAGCTTATAGCATGTCTTAATCGGTTTCCAGCCTTTGTTCACAGTTTCTGTGTAGCTGGAATAACCCAGCCTGGTCAGTTCTGGGCAGTTTGCTAGTCCATTAAATCACTCTATTTTACGACAGTACCAAGGTGCCTCTTTCCTTCCACCGTCTCTCATTTTCCACCAGGGCCTGGATAGCGTCCACGTTAATCCATTGCGAGTGCTTTCCTCTTTCCCCGGGCCTGTCCAGTCACCCCCAAAGGCCACGTTGCTCACCCAGGGAGCCATGCGGGAGCATTCCTTCTGGGTATTTGATACCATCCGTAATTCCCTCCGGCCGGGAAATGGTCACTTTAGACTGTTCGCTTGCAGGTCATTGAGGAGATTTAGGTATATGTTGGACTTGAGGAACCTGGGGTACGAGTCCTTCTCCATGAGGGTGTACACGATCTTCTGGGCTTCGTCAAAACTCGCGGGGGTTGGGGCTTTGACCTTCTTGGCCGTAGATTCTCGAGTGTGAAAGTCAATGTTGATCTACAAAGGAAAGCTCTCATTAGTGAACGCGCCCTTCCAATGTGTTGCCTATTTTATGACATTACTGTGTGGGTTTCTTGGGAAGCACCGTGAGAGAGAGGCTTTCAGCCCTCATTTAAATCAATTCGAGTATCTCCCCAATGCCTGTTCTAGACCAGACCCCTCCTAGGTGTGGAGGAATTAAAGAAATATCACCAAAAAGCCTTTGCTCCACGTTAGCTCATTGTATAGTTGGGTGTTGCAGAAAAGGCAGACGTGAAACATTTAAATGTCCCTCAAAAAGGTGACACGGGCATTTAAAATTTATAGGAGGAGCCGAAACCTGTTTGGCTCCGTGGATAGAGCATCGGCCTGTAGACTGAAAGGTCCCAGGTTCGATTCCGGTCAAGGGCATGTACTTTGGTTGCAGGCACATCCCCAATAGGGGGTGTACAAGAGGCAGCTGATCGGTGATTCTCTCTCATCGATGTTTCTAACTCTCTATCCCTCTCCCTTCCTCTCTGTAAAAACATCAATAAAATATATTTTAAAAAAATTTCTAGGAGGAGAGGGCACTTCATGCAGCTGGTTTTTTTTGTTTGTTTGTGTTTTTGTTTGTTTGTTTGTTTGTTTTTGCTTATACCAAACATACTTAACTGGAAGATGGACACCACTGACTGGAAGTATGTTTGCCACTGCATCGAATATATGTCTGTATGATATCAATCTGTGTTCTATCTCCATCCAAGATAAGCTAGCTTATTAAGAACTTCCTGGCAGGCAGCTCTGGCCAGTACCCAGCACTCCCTGCCAGGACCGAATCATGCTAGCTAGTTTTGCAAAATGAGTCTTTTATCCAATCTTTTCATAGATACAGAAAGTTAGATGATCCAATCTTTCCATAGATACAGAAAGTTAGATGATCATGGCACTGAGCTATGCGAACACACCTAAATATATAGCTGTGAAATCAGCACTGCGAAAGGACTTCATCTTGCTATGTCTGCTGAAGGGTATTTCTGCACCTAAGTTCCTTCACACGTAAGCGGATGATAATGAACTTGACACTCACTTGTTTAGCAGCGTCTGAATGCACGAAGGCTTTGTATATTTTCTCTGCCTTGCAATGCAGGAGATCAGACTCGGTTTTTTTATAATCTTCGCAAGCCAACCAGAACTCAATGTTCTCCTCGCTGAACTCAGACTTCAGGAAACTTCTGAAGACATCTTGACCAGCTAAAAAGAAAGAGAGAGAGAGGGGTGAGATACTCACATTAATTGAGCCTATGAAGGAATACCTTGAAGAAGAGATTTGCTAGAAAATGCTATTTGATGGCTGTTGCTAAAATAGCTGTGTCATGGTTTGTAGCGATGGAGAGGCCTTTAGTTCCCTTCAGTTATAGTTTCTCTGGGGCCAGATACACCCGTTCAGGGCCACAGGGCTGCTTAGCAGTGGCTCTGAAACTGCGCTTGGCTTCCGTCTGCTAATCAAATGAAAATTCTGTCTGCCAGAAGCTACAAAGCAACCCCTTTTCTTATGCAGAGTATCTTAGGGAAGCAAACATTGACAAAGGATATTAACATCATGTTTGTTATTAACAAGTGTAATTTCCCTGTCTGATTCATGTTAGCCAGAACATGTGAGGACCATATGTTCCCTGTGTGTGATGTACCGATTGTATTTGCAAGTGTTCCTCAGACTTTTAAATGGGCCATTTCTATATGGTGCACTTGTCTGGCTGAATCGTCAACTAAGTCAGGTGATAAGGTGGATGAACCTGGTTGAGCTATGTCAGTGGCAAATCTCCTCAAGGTGTTGGTGGGGAGAAAAGGATGTGCTCACACTCTAGACAGACAAACTTCCCATGGACCCCTCTCTGCCAGGTCCTACTCCCATAGAACTGCAGTGGCCATGATAAGAACAAGGCGAACTCGTTGCCTCCTTCACCTCCTCTCATCAGAAATGCCTCACAAAACTGCTTAAAAATCATCCTTTATTGTTTCCGTGTTGTACCATGTGTCATATCACATATCACGTGTCTTTGATTTTGAATCCTTGGCACCTCTGAAACGCTTGCCACAGGCAAATGGGCTGAAGGAGTGAGCTCGTGAATGTGTGAATGATGAAATAGTAACAGACTAAGGGACTAACTGCTGATAAAAATACATGCTCTCGGTAGCTTTCAGAACAGCCGTCCACATGTTGAGAGGTTTGACTGACTCTTAGAAGTGCTGAACCCCAGGACCCCAGCACCATTTAAAAATCACTCCTCTAATGACCCATCTTTGGAAACATGGAATGGGCTTGGCCGATTGGTCAGTGGCAGAAGTAAGGGCTAAGCATTCCTTACAAGGGCAAGGTGCAGAAGCTACATGTGACTACATAGAAGCTGGAGTATAGCTCCCCACTCGCCCTCCTGTCCGGGACCCAGTATCTGACTGATACCCTTTAACCTGGTAGCCTGTTGGGCCGAACCCACACATGTTCGGTAGCTCCTCTCCTTACCTCGGGTGGCAAGAAGTTTCTCCAGGGACTGAGACCACTGCAGCACTTCATCAGCACACAGCCTGAGGGGACAAGGTTGGCATGCGTCAGTAAACGTGTTTTTCATAGTCAAGAGCGCCTGCTGCCTTTTCATAACTTCACAGACCGAAACTCTAGTCCCGATACATCTTACTAAAACGTGTAAGAAAACGAAATTCCCCCTAGAATTACTCTTGAAATAAAGTTTCCTATGGCATCGCTATATAAAAATATCTGCCAACAGAATATGAAAAACATCCAAGTACGTATCTTCCAAGAGCACGATAGATAGCAAATATATGCGCGCACATGTTGGCGTTTCATTCCTGTGGGACTAATGTGCTCATCTCCTTAGGATTGGTACTTAAAATGAGTGAAGTGCATTAAGCACAGTCTTAATCTCTTGGAATTTGGTGCGTATGCACAGACCACTTGTCCAACCATAGCTGAGTGGGTTTGTGTACTTACATGTCCTTGGACCTGGACGGTTTCATCCCAGACTCCAGATGTGGGATCATAGATCTCAGGTACGCCTTCACGTCCATCCCGCTGTAAATGACACAAGAGTGAGTGTCCATCCCTCCTCAGTAGGATGCATCTCATTGATAAAACGAGAACAGCCTGACATGAACTCCTCCCATGAATAAGGCGATCGTGTTATTAGATTAAGATGGAGCCGATGTAAATCCAGAAAAAAATCCCCACCCAACGTGATGCCCGGTCACGATTCCCTTTCTGATACAACAGAATCTACTGAGAACACCCAACGGGTCATTGCTCTGCTCCGGCTGAACGGAGTGCTCACTCCTCCTGCCATTGAAGAGGATCTTAGTCCAAAGTGCCCAGGCCAGACAGCGAAGGGGACTTACAAGGTCCTGGGCCTCCTCTTCTGGGTCTTGTCGTCCAGAAGCGAATGATCTGTGCCTTTCTGAGGAGCCGAGAAGAACATGCCTGGCATGTTGTGCAGCCTGGGCGTGGGGATGGCTGCTCCTCGCATGGTCCTCTCGGGGCGACTGTCTGCTCGCCCGCATCCCCGCTGCCTTATATAACGAAGGCGGGGGGGTGGAGGGGTGAGGGGAGGGACTGGGGGGGCCCTCGTGCTGCTCGCCCTGTCTGTTTATCAGGCGGCGTTACCACAGACACTGGAAGTTCCTCCTTTCTCGCCGGGCTGTGACGTGGATCTTGAAGAAAAAAAAAGACTACAGTGATGTATTGTGGTTGAAACTTAACCAAGTGAGAACAGGTCACTTGATCAGAAAGAGAGAACATTAAACACACAGAGGCCCCATGTCTGAAGCGTTCCCGTTAGTTCTGGAAAATGCACCGTTCAGGAAAATGCCTCCTCCGGAGTATTTATTGCATCACACAGAAGCTCAATGGCAGGATGCGTCCCTGCTAGTCCTCCATCTGATAAAATCCATCTGATCACAGTATGTTAAAGAGGTTTTTTTTTTGTTTTTGTTTTTTTCCTGTTCAGGAAGCAGTATAACGTAAATACATAATTTTTTTGTGTGTGATCACTTGTGCATGGATCTGGTAGGGAGAATAATAAAGAGAGGTTATCTTCATGTTTCCCTGCTCCAACTCTCAGTCCTTATTTTCAGGGCAAGAAATTCCGGGGTGGGGGTGGGGTGTTGGGGGTATGGCTGGTGATTTGCCATATTTATTAGGAGGGGGCACACGAATTCCTATATTAATCAGGAGTATAAGGGACCTATCACGCTGATTTTTATTTATACACATTACTGCTTAGGGTAAAAACAAAGTCATATTTAAAAACCCTACGAACAAGTAGAAGTATAGTTAGCACAAGAATGTGGCTAACTATGGAAATACACTGAAGGTAAAGAACTGCAGAGTATCAGAGGAAAAACTGCTCGTGTTCAAACAAGAGTGTGCTTGGACAGGCCAATGTCAATACATCTTCCACATGCTGGCAGTATCTCTGAAGATAAACGTGTAGCTTGAATTAAGATTAAGAATTTTTTTAAACGTCGCAGGGAACGAGATGACAGATCACCGGTGGGGTAGAGGGTACTGTAAGCTCTTTGGCGTTTACATATAGACAGTGTTTATCTATGAAGAACACAGTTTAACTTCAGCCTCTTCTGCGTTTTGCCCCTGAAAAGACAAAACAGACGTGGCTTAGAGAGGCTTCTGCTGGTGTTACCAGGCAAAGCTGAGAAAAGGGCAGGAGAGCATTCATTTTCCTCATTTGGTCCTATCATCAGGATAAAAAAAGCATTTGTTAAAAAAAAATAGATTTCACAGAAAAAAAAATATTGGTGAAGGGATCACATTTATAATCTTTCAAAATTCACTTCCTTCGCCGCCATAAACATATACCGCCCGCAGCAGGCGTCATTGCTGCTGGGAAGATAGCATCGTGATGCGTGAAGCAAGACAACTGGTGAGAGGAGCTGGCTGTGGCGTGACCCAAACAGAAGTGATTTGACTCTGGGACCAGTGACATACTGGCCTTTGTGTTCTCCTTGTGGTTCAGGCCATGCTTCAGTTTTCCGCTAAAATCTCCAGCATTGCTCTTGGTTGTTTATCTGGTTAATGTCTCATCCCTCTAGATAATTGTGGGTCAGAGAAGAAATGGTTTTGTGTTTATTCTGAATGGCTCACTGTTATCATCATCCATCTGGACTGACGATTCCCGGAGTATGTTTCTAGAGCGCCAATTCCTTTGGCTGTTAACAAGCACGATTAGGACTACAATAGCAGCCGCAGCAAAGGTTATGTGGCCACTTAAGTTTGGGAAATATTGGGTCAAAGGTTTTGCCTGGCCAGTGTGGCTCAGTGGTTAAAGCACCGACCCATAAACCAGGAGGTCACGGTTCGGTTCTTGATCGGAGCATATGCCCAGGTTGTGGGTTTGATCCCCCGTGGAAGGCATGCAGGAGGTGGCCCATCAATGATTCTCATAATTTTTGTTTCTGTCTCCTTCTCCCTCCATCTCTGTGAAATCATTGACAATATATATATCAATATTCTTTTTAAAAAAAGGTAAATAGGTTTCTTAAGTTGCACACATCTTCTGAGAGCCTTTAATATGTGAGTGTACATTTGTCAATGTTCAAAAGGCGATCAGAGCCGAAACCGGTTTGGCTCAGTGGCTAGAGCATCGGCCTGCGGTCTGAAAGGTCCCAGGTTCAATTCCGGTCAAGGGCATGTACCTTGGTTGTGGGCACATCCCCAGTAGGAGGTGTGCAAGAGGCAGCTCATTGATGTTTCTCTGTCATCGATGTTTCTAACTCTCTATCCCTCTCTCTTCCTCTCTGTAAAAAAACAATAAAATATATATTTTTAAAAAAGGCGGGTAGAATACTCAGCAGTTTCCTAATAATCTTGAGAACTTGGCCGTTGTTAAGTAGAGAAAATAGTTTGCAGAAATAATGTGCTCTTGACACCACATTGGGAAACTCTGGTCTGATATAGAGATAAATATTCACCTCTCAATTCCTTTAAACTCCCCCCTCCCCACATGTTGCTACCTCCGTACAAACTTTCAAGCTCAAGCATTTGCAAGCAACTGCAATCGCACGCTTGCAAGCCCAAGTGGAGAACTGAACTGAGAATTGCATCGCACACTTCCAAGCCCAACTGGCTTCCATGGGAAATCCCTCCATCCCAGGTGGCTGCTGAAGCCACTTGGACGGCACAGTGATACGGCTGTTCTCTCAAAGGCTGCTTGCTGGCACATGCAAAGCAGTCGGCGGAGAGCTAGGCAAATTGGGGGAAGGTGTATTTACATAGGTTCACAAGTCCATGGCAAGGCACCGAAAGTTCCCTTCCAGTTTTGTACAGAATGTCCCTTCCTGGCTCCTCTTTATGAAATTCTGTGAAGAAAAGGCAGATGGGCAGACAGTCCCTTTTCTGAGCCTCTGACTCTGGTTGAAATGGCGGAGGAGGATTTGGTAAAAGCCGGCAGAAGACATAATGGCTCTCGCCAACATCACCTGGTCTGTGTAGCTCCTCTGCCAAGTTGTTATCATCTCATTGAAAAAAGTGATGCGCTCTATTTTTAGAGCCATTTCAGATTGATAGCAAAGGTGAGTGGAAAGTACAGAGCATTCCCACTCACTCCTCCCACCCCTGCCTTCTCCTCCATCCACATCCCACACCAGTCGGTGCAGTTGTTAGAGCTGGGCATGCACCTGCAGTGACTCATCCTCACCGCCCACAGTCCCTAGTTCACCTTCGGCCTCCCTCTTTGTGCTGTCCGTCCTATGGGTTTTGACAAATGTATGATGACACATGTCCACCATTATAGTATCACACAGAATGGCTTCCCTGCCCTAAAATCCCCGTGCTATATATCCGAGATTGGTTCAGTACAATATTTCAGATTATGGCTATCCATTGGATAGGGGAAATTTTAGTGTTTGCTGAGTTGATTTTATGGTTTGGTTCTGATCACTCCAAGTGCCTGAATCCTAGTAGGGAGAGCTTTGCTGAATGACATTTTCTTTTTTAAAGAAATATATTTTATGGATTTTTTTTTTTTTTTTTTTTTTTTTACAGAGAGGAGGGGAGAGGAATAGAGAGTTAGAAACATCAATGAGAGAGAAACATTGACCAGCTGCCTCCTGCATACCCCCTCCTGGGGATGTGCCCGCAACCAAGATATATGCCCCTTGACAGGAATTGAACCTGGAACCCTTCAGTCCGAAGGCCGCCGCTCTATCCACTGAGCCAAACCAGTCAGTATTTAACATTTTCATGCTTAATATTGATGCTGAGCTTTCATAATGCTGCTGAGGTTTTGCTGCAGATATTAGGAGTTTTGGAGAAAAGGTCAATAATGAGCACAACATTTTATCTTTAAAAAAATCATCGCCTTGCATTTTTTATTATTTACTTTATAAAGTAAAGTTGTGCAACTTTTTCATCCGACTTATTTCACTTAGCATAATGCTCTCAAGATCCACTTACGGTGTTGCAAATGACAACATTTCATCTTTTTATGGCTGAGTAGCATTCCGTTGTACTTATGTCCCACATCTTTATCTGTTTATCTGTCAGAGGAGACTTAGGTTGCCTCCGTGTCTTGGCCGTGGTAAATAATGCTGCAGTGAATGCAGGGATGCACATGTCTCTATGAATAAGCATTTTCAAATTATTGGGGTAGGTTCCCAGAAGAGGGATTGCTGAGTCATTGGTGACTCTAGTTTCGATTTTTTGATGAACCTTCACACTGCTAGCAGTGTGGGAGGGCTGCTTTCCTCCACATCCTTTTCAAAGCTTCTTACTTCTTATCTTAGGGATAACAGCCATTCTAACAGGTGTGAGGGGTATCTCATCTAAGTTTCGGTTTCCATTTCCCTTATAGCAAGTGAAGTTGAGCATCTTTTCATATCTCTTTTGGCGATCTGTGTGGTTTTTTTTTAAATTATCTCTTTAAGTCTTCAACCCAGGAGATTATATCTTATTAGTATTATATTTTTTAAAATCCTCACTTGAGGACATGCTTATAGACTTTAGAGAGATAGGGGAAGGGAAAGAGAAAGAGAGAGAGAGAGGGAGAGAGAGAGGGAGAGAGAAAGAGAGAGACTTTGGTGTAAGATAGGGGTGTCGAACTCAATCAGAGAAGGGGCCAAAATCTAAAATCCAGCCTAAATCGCGGGCCGAATGGTTTACTGAACAGTCATAAACTGTCATTGTGATGGAAACGCAGCGGAGTGCAGTGATGACAGCGCGGTGCGGGCCACATTGCAAGGCCTGGCGGGACGGATTTGGCCCGCGGGCCTTGTGTTTGACACATGTGGTGTAAGAGATAAATATCCATCGGTTGCCTTTCCGTATGCACCCCCAGTGGGGAACGAAGTCGCAACTCAAGTATGTGCGCTGACAGGGAATTAAACCTGCAACATCTGGGTGTACAGGATGGTGCTCCAATCAACTGAGCCACACCGGCTAGGGTACGAGATTGAATCTTTTCTTTTTGTAAAATATATTTTATTGATTTTTTACAGAGAGGAAGAGAGAGGGAAAGAGAGTTAGAAACATCAATGAGAGAGAATCATTGATCAGC